AAAAAAAAAAAAAAAAAAGGTGCTATTTTAGTATCTAAACGAGTCTAGGTGAGTCTCCCTGGAGGAGGCCTGGCGACCACATGCCCTCCCTCTCCTCCACCTCACCCCGTCTCCGCCTCCGCTTTCCCATCGAGGAGGCAGATGAGCTCTGAGGGCTGTAGAGGTCGTCCCTGTGCTGCCTGCCTCGGGTCACTACAATCCCGCAACTTTCCCTTCCTCCCTAGGATGACGCGGCACGGCAAGAACTGCACCGCGGGGGCCGTCTACACCTACCACGAGAAGAAGAAGGACACAGGTGGGGGACTGGGGCGGGGTACGGATGTGTCTCGGCGTCACCATCTCCCCTCGCGCCGAGGTTTTGCTTCCGCTGTGTCCCTGTCTCTCTCCTGCCCCCACCATACGCGGATGGCCATGACCACGTAAGCCATAGCCGGGTGATCCCGCGCCCCCATGTGGCCCGGCGCTGTGTTCCCTGCCTTCTGCGCATGGACTCACTCCTCCCAACAGAGCGTCAGGGCGGGACGTGTTGTTACCCCACGTTCCAGAGGAAGAAACTGAGGCCCAAATAGGGACAGGCACTCGAGCTTGGTAACAGCCAGAAGACTGGAGGGGAGTCAGCAGTCAGCCCCTCCACCGAGCTGCCACTCAGTGTGAGCAGGCCTGTCTGCCTCTCACGTACGCTCCAGGGTTGACACCTCCCTCTGGGTTCAGCCTGTTGCCCCAGCACACAGACAACAGCTCCTGAATGCCTGTTTCTCTCTGTGTCCCCCACCCCCACCGCGGCGTTGTCTCTGTCCTCTCTCCCGGGCTTTGGAGAGGGGCAGGTCTCCTGTTGCTCTGCCCCTCCATCACTCTGCCCATCTCCGTCCCCAGCGGCCTCGGGCTATGGGACCCAGAACATTCGACTGAGCCGAGATGCTGTGAAGGACTTCGACTGCTGTTGCCTCTCCCTGCAGCCCTGCCACGATCCTGTTGTCACGTGAGCTGGGATCAGGGGTGGGTGGGGAGGGGCAAGGGAACCACCAGGAGGAGGCTGTGTGTGTGGATCTGGCCACCAGCACAGGCAGGGAACCCTGGAGGAGTAATTTATCCTCAGAGCCTCTGTGTTCTCACCTGAGACAGGGGCATGATCCTAGTGTCTTTTTCATAGTGTGGAACATATGGAAAGGGACATGTTCCTAATGGGGTGCAGGGCTCTTGGAGCATTGCTGAGGCCACCACAGAAGGTCTTCGGGAGCACTTCCCATGACCTGCCTCTGATGGTAGTGCAAAAGCTTAACAGGTGCTGAGTCTAGGTGCTAAATACGTGCTCAGTTAGTGGTATATTTTATAGAAGACACTAATGATCAGGGCCCCCAAGGCCACCTTCAGGTCCTTTTTTTTTTTTTTGAGACAGAGTCTTGCCGTCACCCAGGCTGGAGTGCAGTGTCACGATCTTGGCTCACTATAACCTCCGCCTCCCAGGTTCAAGCAATTCTCCTGCCTCAGCCTCCTGAGTAGCTGGGATTACAGGTGCCCACCAATACACCTGGCTAATTTTTGTATTTTTAGTAGAGACAGGGTTTCACCATGTTGNAAAAAAAAAAAAAAAAAAAAAAATACACTGAAACCACTTTATTTTTATTTATTTATTTTGAGACAGAGTCTTGCTCTGTCTCCCAGGCTGGAGTGCAGTGGCGTGATCTTAGCTCACTGCAATCTCTGCCTCCTGGGCTCAAGCAATTCTCGGTGCCTCAGCCTCCCTAGTAGCAAGGATTACAGGCAGGTGCCACCACACCCAGCCTAAAACCACTTTAATAGTGTGAATTTTACGGTGTGTGAATTGTGTCTCAATAAAGTCATTTAAAAGGTGAGGTTGCACTCACGTGTGGGGAATGACCAGAGAGGTATCAAAGTAGGGTGGCAGAATGTTGACAGCTGCTAGACCCCAGGATTTGGGTACATAGGGGTTCCTTATACTATTCTGGTTTTGTATGTGTTTGAAAACTCACAGAATAAAAAAGTTTTATTTTTTGAATTGAGCTCCAGGGTTCCGGGGCTTGCTTTTCCTCCTTTGCCTGCAGTGAGTGGAGGTAGCTCTTCCCCCAGACAGAGCCCTACTCTGACCTGCTCTCTGATTGGCTGATCTGAGATGCAATCACAGCCACTATCTCCAATCGCTAGTGGACTGGCAAACACTGAATGGTTCAAGCTGGGCTAAGTGCCACTGGGCTTGTCCACTCCTTGGCCACAATCAGCCTGCAGATATGGGAGGGGAAGGGAAGGTGGAGTGGATTCATCAGTAGTGGCCCCCTTGGCGTCTTTTTTTTCCCCCTTCTCCGTTAAATGGCACAGCCACCACCCCAGCTATTCTGAAGTAGTGGCTAGAATTTGAATCCTGGCCTCCTGCCCTTTTACCTTCAAAGAGTTTTGTTGTTAAAGGTGCTATTTTAGGCCGGACGCGGTGGCTCACGCCTGTAATCCCGGCTTTGGGAGGCTGAGGCGGGTGGATCACTAGGTCAAGAGATCGAGACCATCCTGGTCAACATGATGAAACCCGTCTCTACTAAAAATACAAAAAATCAGCTGGGCATGGTGGCGCGTGCCTGTAATCCCAGCTACTCAGGAGGCTGAGGCAGGAGAATTGC